AGGGCATGCCTCTCCTGCAGTTAAAAACCCAGGGCTAGTCCATGCCCAGTGCTCAGGTCTTGGGCTAAGGGGCTGTTTAATTGTGGTGTGGGCATTCAGGCTCAGGTGGCAGCCCAGGACCCTGCGAGGCAGGAAGGTTCCAGAACCTCAGTTGAAGCTGGAATCCAAATGCCTACACAATTAAACTGTCTCTCAGCGCAGCCCCGTGAGCCCAGACTGCAGGCATCTAACTGAGGTGTAGACATGCCTCTTGTTAGTTTATCAGAGAACTTATCGGATGTACAGGGAGAACTACTTGATGGAATAGAATTGCATCCTCCAGGCCACTCGAACATATCACTTGCCATTACCCCATAGGTTGCGTATAGTCTACATGTAGCCTATATTCTTTTCTTAATAAAAGAGCTTTACATGTCAAGAGTCACCTCACCTCATTGCTGCCATTGGCATTGTTTGCTTCCACACAGCTCCACTCAAGGTTAGTGGTCAATCACTCTGAAATGCACCAACTCTCATGCCAATAAGAGATGATGCTTTTGAACCGTTTCTGAATGAGATGCTCTAGGCAAGCCCTGGTTTGCTGATTGCCCCAAGTGGACTGTAGAGGAAATGTTTTACTTCTGGCGTGTCTACACAGACAGCGGCGCAGTGGCACAGCAGCACCCATGGAGCTGTACTGCTGTAGCACATCTGATGAAGAGGTTAATAAAACCACCTCTGTGAATGGCAGAAGGTATGTCAGTGGGAGAAGCTGTCCACACGACTGTGTATGTCAATGTAGCTTTTGTCATTCAGGGAGGGGGTTTATTCACACCACTGAGTGGCATCAGTTTTACTGATATAAACAGACTTAGAAATTACAGTAACTATTTACTTTTGGAAAAGCGACGAGGAGTCCTGTGGCACCTTATAGACTAACTGAAGTGTAGGAGCATAAGCTTTCGTGGGCAAAGACCCACTTCGTCAGATGCATGTAGTGGAAATTTCCAGAGGCAGGAATAAATATGCAGGCCAGGATCAGGCTGGAGATGACCAGGTGGATCCAATCAAGGAGGATGAGGCCCACTTCTAGCAGCTGATCTGGAGGTGTGAATTCCAAGAGAACAGAAGCTGCTTTTGTAGTTAGCAAGCCATTCACAGTCTTTGTTTAATCCAGAGTTGATTGTGTCAAACTTAAAGATGAACTGTAGCTCAGCAGTTTCTCTTTGAAGTCTGGTCCTGAAGTTTTTTTGCTGCAGGATGGCGACTTTTAGATCTGCAATAGTGTGTCCAGGAAGATTGAAGTGTTCCCCTACAGGTTTTTGTATGTTGCCATTCCTAATATCAGATTTGTGTCCATTGATTCTTTTACGTAGGGACTGTCCTGTTTGGCCGATGTATATAGCAGTGGGGCATTGTTGGCACATGATGGCATATATTACGTTGGTGGATGTGCAGGAGAATGTACCAGTGACAGTATGGCTGATCTGGTTAGGTCCTGTGATGGTGTTGCTGGTGTATATATGTGGGCAGAGTTGGCACCGAGGTTTGTTGCAAGGATTGGTTCCTGAGTTCGAGTTATTATGGTGCGGTGTGTAGTTGCTGGTGAGAATATGCTTCAGGTTGGCGGGTTGTCTGTGGGCAAGGACCGGCCTACCTCCCAAGGCCTGTGAGAGCGAGGGATCATTGTCCAGGATGGGCTCTTTTGGCTGGCTGTAACAGTTTGACATTTTTATTAACTTTTCTCTTATTATCTTCCCAGGTGAGAGGGATACTAAAACAGAATTTCTCCTGGATTTCTGTCCCTCTTGGCAAGGTGATATCCCCTAATCATCTCACCCTGCAAGCCTCTGTTGTGGTGGCTGTGAGTACTTGGGGAAAAAATATGGACTAATATGAAGCATAATTAAGGTTTATTTATAATTAAGGGTTTCCTTTTCTGTTACTTGGAGAAAAATGTTTTTTTCTGCCTGGATCAAGATTCCCTTTTGTAAATCTGAAAAACTAAATATGGAATAAAGAAGTTTTTCTTTGGAAAGTTGTAAGGAGTATCCAATATACAAAAATGACACATGCTTATAGGTCAGTACAGTGGGAAATCACAGAATATAATATTTCAAGGTTTTCCACAGGTGATTAGAGAAATCTTGTTAAAATGAAGCACAGTTATTTAAGGAGCTTAAATGATGATCAGAGATGATGTAGCTTTTGTTAAGAACCAAAAGTAGTAAAAAGAAATATCAGTCTTTCAAAGCTGTTTTGTTAAAGGCTTTCAAGGAATGAAATTCTGGTTGTGTTGAACTTTCTACCATCAGCCTTAAACATTTCTCCAGTGTTGATAGATGATGTTTTGGCTTGGTTTTATACTGTGTGAATCACATGTTAAGCTACATTTACAAGGACATGATCAAGCAGTTAGGCCAGGGGTGGGCAATAATTTTTGGTGAGGAGCCACTCCAAGGTTTTGGTAAGTTGGAAAGGGCCGCACTTTTCTGTGGAGGGAGTATGGGGTCTAGGACGGAGGTTGGGTGCAGAAGGGTGCACGGGGTAAGGGACTGGGGTGCAGGAGACTGTGTGGGATCTGTGAGGGTGTTTGGGTGAAGGAGGGGATTGGGGTGCAGGGTCTGGGAGAATGTTTGGGTGCAGGAAAGGATTCTGGCTTGGGGAGGAGTGTAGGAGGGGATACAGGGACTGGGAGGGAGTTGTGACCTGGAGCACGGGGGTGCAGAGGGTTTGAAGGGTGACCTGGGTGAGGCAGTTGGGGTGCGTGAGGAACAGGGGTGCCAGAGGCAGGCTCTGGCTGGGAGGCACTTACCTAAGCATCTCCTGGTCTGCAGCACTCCCAAGGCAGGCTGGGCTCCCTGCCTACTGCAGCCCCAGACCACTTGAAAATACAGGCTGTTCCCTCCACATGGCTCTCAACTCCAGGGGGGAAGAGGCTTGTGCTGCCCCCCCATCTCCCAGGCCAATCTCTTAGCTCCTATTGGCTGGCTGTTTTCATCCAATAGCAGCTGAGAGATTGGCTGAGGTCAGTTTTTACTGGTTGGTTGTTTCTGTCCAATAGGAGCTGAGGATTGGGCTGGGGGCAGGGAGGTCACATTAAACAGCAGCATTATGGGGAAGTGCCGTGGGCTTCGTATGGCTAGAAAGCTTCGCAGCTACCATTGTGATCAGAAATGGCATGACAAGCAATACAAACGGCCCATTTGGGAACTACCCTGAAAACCAACTCCTTTGGAGGAACTTCTCGTGCCAAGGGAATAGTTCTAGAAAAAGTTGGTGTAGAGGCTAAACAGCCAGCAGAGTCCAGCTGATCAAGAACAGCAAGAAGATAATAGGTTTTGTTCCTAATGACGGTTGCTTGAACTTCACTGAGGAAAATGATGAAGTTCTGGTTGATGGCTTTGGTCTGAAAGGTCACGCTGTTGGTGACAGTCCTGGTCTTCTCTTCAAGGTTGTCAAAGTAGCCAACGTTTCCCTCTTAGCCTTGTACAAAGGCAAGAAAGAGACACATGTTCATAAATTTGTCATGCCATCTGGGTTACTAATAAACTTCAATTTGATTTAATAAAAAAACATAGAGACTTCACTTTAAACCACAGCACCTGAGGGCCTGAGGATCCTGGCAGGGTGGTCCACAGGACAGATCCAGAGGCTTGGCAGGCTGGATCCAGCCCCCAGACTGTATTTTGCCCAGCTCTGTGTTAGACCAAAATTCTTATCTGTTACCAACAGTAATTTATAAAACCTAATGTGACTAGAAATGTTTTTAGAACATTTTCCCCCATTGATTCTTCTCCAAAAATTAAAAGGAAAACTTACACAAAAGAACCACACACAGCCATCTTCACTCTGGGAAACACAAAGAGAACAGCAATATGCTAGTGCAGCACAAATGGAAAACAAAATTGTACAGTCTAGCTTCTTTTTCTAAGCTGAGTGGAGTAAAAAAAATGAGTAGCTGAAAGAGTGGATTGATTTTTAAAATCCTTTCTATTTTAATAAGCAGTGTCCTTTTAAGAGTAGGACCAGGATTGGGTCATTTAAACACAACTGAGATTTGCCAGTAATTTCAGTGGGATCAGGATGCCATATATTAAGTCTATTTATATATTTATACATTTCATCATTGTAGTATAGGAGCACATGGTGAACTAGACACAAAACTTGCCTATGTTTGCTCACTGAAATGGAGAATATTTGTCCCAACCACAGATCACATCCATCTTCATCAGCCTAATGAGGGAATATTCATGTGCAATGAAACCAAGGGAAATGCTCTCATGGGAGTCAACTCTGTGAAAACAGCTGTTAAGTGTTTTCCGCACATCTGTTTATGATTCAACCTCTGTTTCAGTATTCACACACACTGCTAAAATTCCTAATAAGGGAAGCATTGGGTCAGAGGAAGGAGCAAAGACCAGTCATCACAGTTTGTGCCACTGTATGTTAAAATTCACAGTTGTTAATTTCACGATTCACACTTAATTGAAAGAGATGAAAACAACTTCCAAACATGGCTTAAATCGTTGAAGAGGTCCTTGGAGATCTCCCAGTTTAGAATACCATGTTACTGAGCTGAAGGATGCAAAGCAAAGTGGGACTCTCATATAACTACATCTTCTGGATTTTCCCACTTCTGAGTTTAGTGACAAAGCCACTAGAAATGCAATCTAACCTCGATACACTGCCCAAAGCACCAAGGGTATGTCTACATTACCCTCCAAATTCGAAATAGGAGGGTAATGTAGTCATACCGCAATTGCAAATGAAGCCCGGGATTTGAATTTCCTGGGCTTCATTTGCATAAAGCCGGCCAGTGCCATTTTTAAATGCCGGCAGTTCGAACCCCGTGCCGCATGTAGCCGCGCGGCACGGGGGTCGAACTGCTGGCATTTAAAAATGGTGCCGGCTGGCTTTATGCAAATGAAGCCCAGGAAATTCAAATCCCGGGCTTCATTTGCAATTGCGGTATGACTACATTACCCTCCTATTTCGAATTTGGAGGGTAGTGTAGACATACCCCAAGTGGGTTTTACTGAAATCCAGTACATTTTCTTTCAGGCTGGGTTATAAGACTCTAGCTATCAGAACCCTTTTGTGCTATGTCTGCAATGCTGTTTATGAAGGAACTGGAGTGAGTTAGGGGTTTTGCATTGGAAACCAGACCTTATACACTAACAGATCATTGGTGATGTTTTTAAGCTTCCAAGAAATAACATGGTAGAAGATAGGGGAGTTTGGCCATGTTGGTTCACTTCCATTTTTAACTCATCACCAACTCACAGAGCTTCCCCAAAGGATATCAGTGGCTGTGATGTGATATATCACCCCAGTGCACATGGACATGTGCAAATGGGAGAGTATGCTAGGGAGCGTGGCTGGAATTCCGACAGGATATTATTAAAAATGATGAACAAATGGGAAGCTAATCTTTGACACTGCTTTCAGTTTTTAAAGTGCTAGTGTTCAGTGACATTCACCAACAGGTAGGGTTTTTACAGGTAAACCCAGAAGCAGCTGGTGGTATCTGGGAGAGGACAAATAGAATCACACTTTCTTTTTAAGATACATACATGTATTCTCACTCTCTCTACTTATACATACTATCTCTGTATGGATGTCTGACTTCTCAATAGCCTTTTCATCAGAGCTGAATATTTAGTTGAGTATATCCCTGTTTTCATAGGGCTTTTTCCTGCTTTTTGCACAAATTTCTGCAGCATAGCTTGCAATTAACTTGGAATACTGATCTCCCTGCAGCCATTGGGCTATGCCAATGTTCTGACATGAGACTGTCTGCTATTGCCATCCTGGCTGAACTCCCTCCCAACACCACATCAGCCTCTAGATCTTGTGTAGGTTTGTGTCACATGCTATACACCAGTCAATTTAATAAGTGCAGGTGAGCCCAGAGTCCAGGCCCTCCTGCATCCAGGGGACAGTGTTTAGAATTCACTCATTTCAATAGCCATTCTGCAGTTAGCTTTGCTGTTCAGTATGTCACAGATGGTTGGGCGGCCCCCATTGCTCGAGTCTTGGCTTCTGGTAGCAATATGTCCATTGTGTTCTGTTGAAAGCTTGAAGGTGAACAGGTGACATGAGTCCTTTTGCTCACTGCCTTCCTGTTGAGAACTCAGGAAAGAACTGGAGTCCTTCCACTCCTGGAATGTGTACATTTCCGTGTGAGGGTGAGTGACTTTGCTCAGGTAGCCTGGGCTAGGAGTGGCTGAGGATAATGTTCTCTGACTGCCACTTAGGAAGCTTCTGCTGTCTTCCAATGAGTCTTTGCGGGAATGTTCAAAGGAGCCTGGATTCCAGTTCCTGTAGTTGTAGGCCCACCATCCCAGCCGCCTCCGCCGGTGGCATTGGCACCTCAAGATCTGTACAAAAGCCCTCTTGAACTCTTTGCTTGAGCAGGGGTAGATGATTGGGTTCAAGCAGCTGTTGCAATAGCCAAGCCAAAAAATTATCTTGAAGATAGTTTCAGGTGGCTTCAAAGCAGAAAACATAGACCCTATTAGGGAAAAACAAGCAGAGAAAGCATCTGAGATAACTGTTCTCAACCACCTCTATTAAAAAGTATAAGATGAACCCATGATGTTCATAATCATTCCTATGAAAGTGCTTTTGTTAAAAGGTTATATCACCCTCGCCACTTCAATTAAAGTAGACTTGATATGTCTAATGGGAGCCATAGGGTATGGAAACTTGTTCTCTCCCATCTTGTCTAGGTTATCTAAGGCTCCAAAAGGAAATAATAGTCAAAAGATACAAAATTGATTTAAGCCTGAAATAAGCTAAAGGTCACACAGGTTTGCATAGAGCAGGGCTTTGTAGCACAAGCAGGGCTTTGTAGCACAAGCTTTGTAGCACTTCCTTTCCCAGTCACCATCACATCATTTCCTTGCACCAACTACTGCATTTGCTTAGACAGAAATTAATATTAGCAATGCATTTAATGTATTAGTCTGATCAGATGAAATTTAGCATAATGCAACATTCTGAAAGAACACCTGTAGGCTCTGAGGCCGTGTCCAGACTCAGGGGTTTTTTCGGGAAAAGTAGCCTTTTCCCGAAAAAACTTCCCCTGCGTCCAGACTCAAGCCGCGTTCTTTCGAAATTATTTCGAAAGAACGCGGCTTTTCTTTCGATGGCGGTAAACCTCATTTCACGAGGAAGAACGCCTTCTTTCGAAAGTTCCTCTTTCGAAAGAAGGCGTTCTTCAATGTAAAGAGGCCGTCTTCGAAAGAGAGCATCCAGACTCGCTGGGTGCTCTCTTTCGAAAAAGCGGATTTCTCGTTCGAAAGATCCGCCTTCAGTCTAGACGCGATCTTTCGAAAGAGGCTCTTTCGAAAGAAGCCTGCAGTCTAGACATAGCCTGAGTTACAATTATGGGCCTCTTGCACACATTTATATTTCTAGCTGGAGCAACCTGAGCAGGTGGCTTCAACACGGGAGTTTAATTTCAGAAGTTGGAACTAGCTTATAAGTCTTTTAAAAACAGAGAGATGGCTCAGAACCTACATGCCAATGCTCTGAGACTCTTTTTGCACTGAAGCAGTTTTAGGTTTTCTGAGCCATTAAAGCCTCTGAGTCAGCAGTATCTATCAGCCTGCTTTACTGTGGCAAGAGGAATGAGATCGTAGGCATAGTTCCTCATCTGTCCAAGCAAGGCAAAGGCTGTGGCCTGGGTCTGGAAGCTATGCAAAACCCTGTTTAATAGACATAGCTATGTGCTATTTAGTAGGGAAACAGCTGAGTCATGCAGATAAATATAGCTGCTGCTTTTCCAGTCAGCATGGTGGGCTTGATATTAACTATGAGAATCTTAGCAAGCTTAAATCTCAAGGAAGCCAAGGAGAGAAAGGGGCATACCACAGCTCATGCCTCAGCATGCCTTTCTCCATGCCCCAACCCGCGTGGCTGTGCTGGTGCAGAGGGGGACATAATATGCTATTAAGCTGACAGACTGGAGATTACTTCCTGCCTCTGCCCAAAGCAAGGGGACTAGGGCAAGAATGTTGTCTCCCTTTTCTGGACTGCTTAGTTGGTGACACAGCCATCAGATGCTAGCTCTGTACATGGCTTAGAAGAAAAGCATGGATCTAGCGCCGAGGAATTTAAAAGGTGCATAGTTCATGACTCTTGCAATGGACTGCATTTCAGAGCATAAACCAGTCTCCAACCATTGCACTCCCACTAACAGTCCTAGAGCTTCCAAGGCTCTGCCCTGGTTCTGTACTGCAGGAGGAGATGAGTGTAGTACAGAGTGTAACATTGGAGAAAATGTGAAAAATACCCAATGGACAAACCAAAATCCTGCAAGCACATTGTCTGTATCTGCTCAGCTCTGAGTGCTTTTTAGTGAAAGATTCAACAAACATTCATGTGGTTCTAGGGAATAAACCATGAAAAGGGTGTGAAGCCTTTACACTGTTTTTGTGACACTTGATTCAAGCTTATGACTTGAGCCAATATGGGCAAGAAATGCCAAGTCATTCGTTTTCTAAACAATAACTATAAATATTTTCTTTGGATTTGAAGAAAAATGTCCTGTGATTGTACTGCATAAATATAAAAACTGATTATCTGGAAGAATTAGTCTAGGGCTTATCCTTTAAAGTACAGGCAGTCCCCGACTTACGCACTTACAAACGGGGCTTTCTCGCCCCGGAGCTCACAGGCAGCGATCCGCCACCTCGACCTCCGGGGTGAGAAAAGCTGCTCCCGGTGCCCCTGGTCTGCTGGAGATGGTCTCCAGCAGATCAGGGGCACCGGGAGCGAAGCCCCAGCCACGGCGCGGTCCCGCGCCTCTGAGGCTTTGCCAGAGCACACAGAGCACACCCGCAGCTAGTGTGCCCCCCCCCCTCAGCAGACCAGGCTTTTGTTGCCGGACCCTGGGGCAGAGCCGCTCTGGGCACTACTGGACCAACCCGGCAGCACCCGAGCTGCTCTGCCCCAGGCGTCCTGATTCAAGCCGCTGCTGAAACTGACCAACGGCTGACCAACCGACAGCCC